TCCCTTCTCAGGTGGAAATGGAAGAATAGTGTTCTGCAAATATGCTAGAAGTTTACTAGAAGCCTGACTGGGTGTGGAATTGCCAGTGCTTATGATGTGTAAAGCTGACACTTTATCATAAAGAAGCGGTGTCATGTGGAGTTCCCAGATGAAAAGTACCAAATCAGCGAGACTCTGAAATCCCAGTGGAGCAAATGAAAAGAGGCAATCGAGTTCAATAGAAGCCAATGTAAAGATGGGCTGAGTTCTTCACCACTGGTCTATAATGCTTCCAAAATGAAACCTGCTGTTTCCCCCGCCTCCCCCCCCCCCGCACCCCCCTACCCCCCCACCCCCCCGCCCCAATCTTCCTGGTTGCCCTCCACCTCTTTCTCCCAAATCCCCTAATCTCCAATCTCATTGAACCAACCTTAGTTCATTTCTTACTTGGGTGATAAGTCACCTAATTGCCCTGTGCTCTAAGGCATGTTCCTCACAACAGCCACACTGGGCTTTCAAAATCACAGTTTGATCATGCTATTCTCAACTGATTTCTTTTCAGTGGTTCCTGTAACCTGTGCAATGGTCCAAACTCCTGAACACATAGCAGACAAGGCTGCTGCCCCTTCAGTGTACTTATGGAATTTACTTATTTCCCTCCTTAATTTAAGTTCCTGGAGGGTAGAACTGTCCTCTTCACATTGGTGGCAGCTATGCTTATACAGCTCTGGCACATCACTGAAAGGGGAGGACTTCCACAAACAGCCTCTGAACACACGGCCAGGGCTGTGCCTCCGGGTTCCAGCTGCAGCCTGAGAAGCCCTTCCCAGCTGTTGCCCTCTAAGGCAGTGGTTCTCAACCTTCTGGCCCTTTAAATACAGTGCCTCACGTTGTGACCCAACCATAAAATTATTTTCGTTGATACTTTATCACTGTAATGTTGCTACTGTTATGGATCGTAATATAAATATCTGGTATGCAGGATGGTCTTAGGCGACCCCTGTGAAAGGGTCGTTCGACCGCCAAAGGGTTCGAGACCCACAGGTTGAGAACCGCTGCTCTAATGTCCCCGAGCCTGTGAGAAGCATAATGAACATGTTTAGCGTCAGTCCCGGGTGAGTTTAAGGAACCTGCAGGTGTTCACCAAGCGGTTCTGCTCCAGTATATGCACATCCTCCTAGGTACCACCAAGCTTTTCTGCAGCGGACTTAAGTTTCCAATTTCCACGCACCCAAGAGGTATTCAAAATATATTCGTTGGTCAACGATGACATTAAATACTCAGGCTAAGAATTCTCAGGAAAGGAATAAGGAGCTTACTTTTCTCTCTCAGTGGGTCCGTTTCTGCGGCCATTGGGATGAAATCTGAGTTTGGAGCATCCACCACCGTTACTTTCCTCAAAAAGACACAGGACTCGTGTGCGGGAAGACAAACCTAGGGCGCCGCTCCGGACGTTGCCCAGCGTTGTAATCAGCACCCGACTCCCGCGGCGTCCACGGGGGCCGCGCCTCCTCCCGAGTCCCAGCCGAGTCTCTCGCTCGGGAAAGAGACTTCAGCTTTCAGGTTTGCTGGGGGCCCGCCAAGTGCATTCTGTCCCGCGTTCACACGAATCTCAGCCGGGTGGGACAGGACGCGGGTGGGACGGGACGCGGCTGGGTACAGGCGTCCAACGGGTCACTCGGGGTCGTGTCGGACCACCTTCCAGAGCGCGGAGGGCGCCGGCGGGCAGCCCGGTAGCGGCCTCCTTCGCGGAGCGAGTGGCGACCTCAGGGTGGCCGGGCCAGAGCGGAAGTCCAAACGGCCCGCCCTGCGACTTTGAAACGGGTGCCCCGAACCGCTCCTAGGAGACGGTGATGCCGCATGCGTCCTCACGCGGGCGTCAGCGCTAACGTCATCACGCTTCCTAGCGTCCTCGCACGCTATTGGCTATTTGTCAAGCTGGGAGCGGAGCTGTGGGAAGGGGGATGACAGCTAGCTGAGCCGGCGGAGTGGTGGCGGGAAAGCTGGCGGGCCTGTGTCTTCAGGTGGGGGGACCCAGCTGGTATTTTTTTTTTTTTTTTTTAAGAAAACCCCCGAAATGTAAACCTAGGTAGGTCATTAAATAGATGCTTACAATCCCCCAGTATCTTTCCTAGACTTCTGGACTGGGAGAACCCGCTCTCCAAAGCGGGGAGGGGGAGGTTTGGAAAGGATCTGGGGTTCTGGGGGGATGGGAGGTGCAAAACTCAGACTGGCGTCTTCAGAGGCCACACCAAGGCTCACCCGCTGGAGGCTTTCTGAGTGAGGACTCGGTAATCTCCAGAAACGAAGTACTGTCCTCACCCTCTCGGGTCTTTGGAGAAAGGAGACAGTTGTTTGAATATTTAACTGAGTAGCAATGAGGCATGTAGTTAGAAGTACTCCAAAGATCCTGCAAATTCAGCAGTTGTTTCTTTAGAGATAACTTTCTTCCCCCAAAGGGGGAAAAACAAAAATTACATTTTTGCAAGAAAAGAATTAGGCAAAACTTTACATCTGTGGGCGGATTACAATTCCCATTATTAAAATGGATTTTGTCTGGATTTATAAACCCTATCATTTTTTTTCAACAGCATTGGAGGAAATTTCAGTGCTAGCAATATAAATGTTAACTTGAACTAGCCAATAGTTTTAGTGCTTTTTAATAGACTGTTTTTATGGATTGAAGTAGTTTCACTAAACAGACATGTCATAGATGTAGCTCAATTTGGCTTTTTCTTTAACAGTTAAATTTTGTGGTCCTGTGCTCATAATGTTATATATACAAAGTAATGTTAGCAGAATGTATTGAGAAATTTAAAAAATTTGTCCAACGGTGTCCGAATAGGTACGTATTTGAAGTCCTGTTATGGGCTTTCTCCATATTCATTATTAAGAGAATATGATGGTCCCTTCCTCTAAAGTAGCGGTTCTCAACCTGTGGGTCGCGACCCCTTTTGGGGGTCCAACGACCCTTTCACAGGGGTCGCCTAAGACCATCGGAAAACACATATATAATTACATATTATTTTGTGATTAATCACTATGCTTTAATTATGTTCAATTTGTAACAATGAAATTGGGGGTCACTACAACATGAGGAACTGTATTAAAGGGTCGCGGCATTAGGAAGGTTGAGAACCACTGCTCTAAACATTAATTATGTTAATTATGGAGGTATATCTAATGACCATACAAAAGTTTAATTTAGCTTTGAGTTAGTGAAGATTGAACTTGATTTGGCTTTTAGCAGCCATTAAGTTAACATTAAAACTTGTTGAAAGGAGAAATTGAGTGTGCAAGCTCCAACTCTTTTTCAAAGGTCAGTGTATGACTTTTTCTTCGTGAACTTCTCGCTGACTCCCCAAGGGCTTGCTTGTATCTCCTCTTACACTTGAACTTTGAATATTGTCATATTGTGGTTTAAGTTGGCATCAAACAAGTAGGTATAAACTTGATTCTACAATTTACACTGAAAGGCGATAAGATATATTAGTGTTGGTGAAAGCAAAGAGCAAGCACATCCTGGATCCATCTAATCCTATATAGAAACAATAAGTCGACACTGTTGATGGAGACAGTAAATGTAGGCAAATAGGTCGATATATACTGAAACTGCTTGGACAGGTGGAACTGAACTAACCAGAACCAGGTGTACATCTCTAGAACACTTAACCATATTTTATGATCTCAAAGGTCAGTCAGACTACCTGTTTCATAGTCTTGTTTCCTATAAGATAACCACTTCAGTTCAAAAAGCACCAATAATACCCACCGGCACAAACTTTGAAATGAATTTCTTGCATGAACAGACGTATAAAAACTAGAATAATAGGGTAGATATATTTTTTTAAATATATATATTTTATTGATTTTTTTTACAGAGAGGAAAGGAGAGGGATAGAGAGTTAGAAACATCGATGAGAGAGAAACATTGATCAGCTGCCTCCTGCACACCCCCTACTGGGGATATGCTGGCAACCAAGGTACATGCCCTTGACTGGAATCGAACCTGGAACCCTTCAGTCCACAGGCTGACGCTCTATCCACTAAGCCAAACCGGTTAGGGCTGAGTAGATATTTTTAAAAATATTGTAAGTAAGTGAAGATTATGAGACTGAAAATGTCCCTTATGCTCATGTAATTGAGTAAAATCTTAAAAATTTCAGAAAAAAGCAAGTTTATAATCAATTCATGATCAATATATTCTACATATAACTTTTAAAAATGAAACTGTGAAAAGGTGAAATTTAGTCCAGCTTTTTACCCCTTCTATTTTTAAAAAATTTATTTTTACTGTTGTATTACAGATGTTCCCTTTTCTATATTTATTCTGTAATTTATATGGAGCAATACAGAACTACTCCATTATTGCAGAAAGAGGTCAAGATATAAAGTCATTTGAAAATCTACCTTTTCTGTTACCAAAGACAGCAGCTGTTATTTTCTTTTAAGAAAACACCCATGCCAACAATTGCTAGTCAAAGAACATTTTAGGACTTTTACTTTTCACTGTTGTTTAAATATAAATATGTAATATACTAATATGCAGATATATACAAATTTAATTCTTACAAAAACCTTTGAAGGTATGTGCTATTTTAAAATTATTTTATAACTTTCTGATTATAACAACTAGAAAGTGTCTGAATTGGGATTTGAATCTAGGCACTCTGGTTCCATTGTCACCATTGTTGACCACTATGTAGATGCCTCCCAGTAGAGTAATATAATTTACAGCTAGGGTAATATTATTTATAGCTGGTATAATATAATTTCCAGGTTTGGCTTATATAGCCAATTAACATTTAGTTGCATTTAGTGAATTATCATTGTACATGTTCTATTTTAATCTTAATACTTTGCAGTTGATTTTAAAGTTGTTGCACAGGATTTATATTGTGGGGTTACTCTTCCATCTAGAAAACCATTCACACTTCAAGAGCCTTCAGATGTTCACTGATGGTCCTTCAACATTTTCTTTCCTAGAAAAATCATGTGTCTGCCTCAGTCCTCCAAGCTCCACCCCTAGAATGTGTAGGCAGCTGGGCGGAGCCTAAGCTGAGTCCTCTCCAGTGAAGTCAGCTGATGTAGCAAGCCTGGTGGAGGAAGAGCTTCCTGGTCTGTGTTCTCTTATGTTTTTGTTGTTGTTGTTGTTTTCTTTTTCATTCTCATTCCTTGCACCTTCCCCCATTCTTGTCGTTAGCTTTTCCTCTGGTAACTTATTCAGCTGCCTCTTCCTGCTGGCACAGTTTACTCCCTCTCCGGCCTGACTTCCTCATTTCTCCTTTTCTCTTTTAGCTGGAGGGGAAGGGGTGTGTGTCTATGTGGAGAATGGAAATGGAAAAGAAATAAGTTTTGTAGAAAACTAAAGAAAATTTCGTGGAATTTGGAAATTGTCCTTGCAAAACATTCTGTTGAGAAACACCTTTTCCATAATTCCCTTCTTTTAACCTTCGTGGAATTTCCCCCCTCTCTTAAGCTTTTAATACTCTGAACTTCTTTCTCCTCTTTCTTCCTTCACGTCCTTTTAAATGGCTTTGCATATAGGGAAAACATGACAATAATTTAAAATTAATTTTGACCTTTTTTGATGAAAGATTAATTTGAAGAATAGCAGTTAAAATGTGGGGGGGAAACAGGATTAATAGTAAACATTCTTTTAAGAAAGTTTAAGAGCCAACATTAAAATTACATAGCAAGGTGGTGATCACCTTGAATGAATATATTCTTTAAGTAATGTTCCTAATATCCATTCTGACTTTTTAGACAGGTTCAGCATACATAATATAAAGGAGATAAGAAGTAGTTACCATACACTTTAAAGACACCTAGCCTTCGCTCTGACCAGTGTTTCTCAGTGGTTAGAGTGTCTGCCTGTGCATCAAAGGGTTGCAGGTTAGATCCCCAACCCAGGTTGGGGCTCTTGCCGCAGACCATGTGTCTCTTTCATCCCTCTCTCTCTCTCTCTCTCTCTGCCCCTTCTACTCTCTCTAAAATGCAATGGAAAAAATATCCTTGGTTGAGGATTAACAAAAAAAGAGAGACCTAGCCTTAAATTAGACTTTAACAAGAGTTTTAAATTATTCATGTATTTTTGAATAGTAATGTGTATCTATCATAGTATAAATTCAAATAGATAAAAAAATAAACAAACAATAAAGTGATATTGTTGAAAGTAAGTCTCCCTTCCTCCCCTGTGTTAGGTAGATCCAAAGAGGCAACCACTGCTGCCACTGGCTTGTTTATGCTTCCTGAGATACTGTATGCATTCACAAGCATACATGCAATTAGTCTTCCTTTTTATTAATCGAATACTTACTTTTTTGCACCTTGCTTTTTTCCACTTAGTATATTTTAGATGTATGTATCGAGGTGCCTCACTTTTTAACAGCTATGTAGTATTTCCTTATATGATATATTTTCTGTATCAGTCCTCTACTGATGGGTATTTAAATTGCTTACAACATTTTGTTATTCTAAATAACGTTGCAGTGAATATTATTACACTTATGTTACTTTGAATATGTGCAGGTCTAATAACTTCTAGAACTAGAATTTTTGAGTCAAAGGATATTTGCATTTTTTATTTAGATAGCTATTGAGGGGTTGCCCTTGACAAAGGCCGTGCCGGTTATGCCCCAAAAGCAGAGTGTGATTGCTTCTCAGTGTCCTCATTAACATGTTATCAAACTTTCCGATCCTTGAAAATCTAAGTGAAGAATAGTAATTTATTTTTTTTATTTTGCATTTCTTTTTTTTAAAAATCTTTATTGTTCAGATTATTACATTTGTTCCTCTTCCCCCCCCCCCATAACTCCCCTCCTCCCAGTTCCCGCCCCACCCTCCGCCCTCACTCCCCACCCACTGTCTTCATCCATAGGTGCACGATTTTTGTCCAGTCTCTTCCCGCATCTCCCACACCCCTTTCCCCCCAAAGAATAGTCAGTCCATTCCCTTTCTATGTCCCTGATTCTATTATGATCACCAGATTATTTATTCACTTGATTCTTAGATCCACTTGTTGATAGATGCATGTTTGTTGCTCATAATTTGTATCTTTACCTTTTTCTTCTTCTTCCTCTTCTTAAAGGATACATTTCAGCATTTCATATAATACTGGTTTGGTGGTGATGAACTCTTTTAGCTTTTCCTTATCTGTGAAGCTCTTTATCTGACCTTCAGTTCTGAATGATAGCTTTGCTGGATAAAGTAATCTTGGTTGTAGGTTCTTGGTATTCATCACTTTGAATATTTCTTGCCATTCCCTTCTGGCCTGCAAAGTTTCTGTTGAGAAATCAGCTGACAGTCGTATGGGTACTCCCTTGTAGGTAACTGATTTTCTTTCTGTTGCCGCTTTTAAGATTCTCTCTTTGTCTTTTGCTCTTGGCATTTTAATTATGATGTGTCTTGGTGTGGTCCTCTTTGGATTCCTTTTGTTTGGGGTTCTCTGCGCTCCCTGGACCTGTAAGTCTATTTCTTTCACCAGGTGAGGGAAGTTTTCTGTCATTATTTCTTCAAATAGGTTTTCAATATCTTGCTCTCTCTCATCTTCTGGCACCCCTATAATTCTGATGTTGGTACGCTTGAAGCTGTCCCAGAGGCTCCTTACACTATCTTCGTGTTTTCGGATTCTTTTTTCATTTTGCTTTTCTGGTTGGGTGTTTTTTGCTTCTTCGCATTTCAAATCTTTGCCTTGATTCTTGCGCTCCTCTGGTCTGCTGTTGGGAGTCTGTATAGTATTCGTTATTTCAGTCCATGTATGCTTAATTTCTAGTTGGTTCTTTATCATAACATCGAGGGTCTCATTAGATTTCTTGAGGATCTCACTACATTTATCGGCGGCTTCTAGACAGTTCTTAAGAGACCTTAAAAGTGTGGTTCTGAACTGAATATCCTCCATTGACAGTTTTGTCCTGTTTCTTTGTCTCCGCATTTTTATGCTTTCTTGGTGCACTCCCTAGTGGTCTTTGTGTGCTGTCTTGTTGTAGTTAAGCCTTGATTGTTGTCAGCAATACCGGGGGTGATTTGACCTCCAGGCTAACTGGCTATGAGAGTCCGCTGTGTCTGCAGTGGGAGAGCTTCTGTGCTGGATCTCTAGGGCGGTGCTAATCTAGCCTTTGCCTGAGGCTATCCGGCAAATGGCTCTGCGCAGGGCTTGGGCGGGGCGGGTCCCCGGGGATCTACAGGGTGGGCCAGAGAGAGCAGTTATGGCTGCTCTCAGTTCTGTCCCCAGAGGCTCTGCCTCTCAGAGTCCCAGCAACTGCTGCAAACCTCAGAGAGAAAGCTGCCTTCGAGTTCCGACCGAAGCCAGACAGTCTTGCTTCTCCCGTTTGAGTCTGGGTCCCTAGAGACTCGCCCGGATATGGAGCTCAGAGCCTGAGACTCCCTCCCGATTGAAAACAACAACCGCGCCCTCCGCCTCCAGCCCGCTCCGCGCACACTCCGCACCTTAGTATTTCACTTCAGCACTGCGCCTCCTCTGAGTCTGGGTATGATATTCTCTTTCCTCCTAGTTGTAGAATTTCCACTCAGCCAGCCTTCCTGTGGTTCTGGATGATGTCCGTTCCGTCTTTAAGTTGTTTTTTGAAGTGGTTGTTTGAGGCAGCAATCTCCGGCGTTAACCTATGCCGCCATCTTGGTTTCTCCTGTATTTTGCATTTCTTTAAAAACAATTTATTGATTGATTTCAGAGAGAGAAAGTGGAGGGGGAGAGAGAAAGAGAGCAAGACAGAGAGACATTGATTTGGTGTTTTCATTTATGCATTTATTGGTTGCTTCTTGTATGTATCCTGACCGGAGATTGAACCCTCAACCTTGATGTCTCAGGTCAACACACTACACTCTAACTAACATGCTACACACTAACCAACTTCTGTCATTATAAGTTAAGTTGAACATTCTGCATTTTCTTTCTGTGAATTAGCTGTTCATTTCTCTACCCATTTTTTCTGTTGGGATTTTGGTCTTCTCCTTATTGACTTCTAGGAGCCCTTTAAAGATTAAATAAATTAGTTATTTGTCTGAAATATGAGTTGTAGATATTTTTCTCCAGACTATGTTTTGATTTTGAAATGGTGAGGGTTTTATTTTTTGGTGGGGATAGGCAGACTTCTGCTTTTAAGCCAAATGTATGTATCCATTTTTTTTGTTTATATGTTCTGGATTTGGGGTTATTTTTTAAAAGGCTTTTTTTACTATTGTCTTTTTTTAAATCCTCCCACTTTTTTCTTTCTTGTTTTTATATGGCTTGATTTTTATGTTTAAATCTTTGATTCATTTGAAACTCAGTTTGGTGTAGGGACCCACCTTTATTTCATTGGTCTGCAAAAATGAACCAATTGATAATGGACCTGGTTGATTAGCTCAACTCCCCATAGACGTCTTTCTTATACTTTACTTCCCTAGCACCTGGCATGGTGCCTGAAAAACTGTAAGTAGCTAATGAATCTTTGATAAACTAAATTGAAAGGAAATTTCTCGATATATCATCTCAGTTATCTTTCATTTTAGTGTTGAAAGAGAAAATGATACCACTAACACAGTTGATTTCTCCTTCATAAAACCTTAGAGCCATGACATTTTAGATCCAGAGATTAGAACAATTATTCACTCAACAAATAACTGAGTTCCTGTTACAGGCATTCTATATGGGAAAGCAGAGACACTAAATGAGTAGGTCATGTGGTTTAAGTGCTGTGAGTCAAAATGGAGCAGTGCAGGGACAACAGAGAATGACAGGGAGTCCAGTGCTACTGGAAGCACACCAACCTGGACTGAAAAAGTGCATTGACTATTTAATTGTCTGGGTACATGTGCAAACAAGAAATTGAAAGGTGGTGGAGGTTAAGCCTCAGGAGACAGTCCTAGGTATCCCCAGGGAGTTGAAGAGATAATCATTTGTCTCTTTCTGCGTCCATGCTATATTTAGATTAGACTGTAAACTAGTTGGCAAACTGTAATTGTTAGGGTAATTTTACTGTCAATATTATGCATGGTTAGACTGACATGAGTGTTCTTTAAGCAGATTAACAAATTTGTTGTTCAGATAAGAAAATAAAGTAATTTTATGCAATTAAAGCCAAAAGTATATTCTATCCTTGGTCATGCCAGCCATGACTCTCCTCCCTGATGGTGGAAGTCTAGTCAGTATTTCTGGCAGTAATTTTCAAACAATGCTAAAAAACAAAAAAACAAAAAAACAAAAAACAAACAAAACTTAGGGGAAAAGGCATAAGGAACTGGTAGAAAGACTTGAGGTACCACTGTCTTATACTCTTTGCTTTTATCTTTTAATCTCTTATCCTTCAGGTAAGATTAGATTTGGAAGTAATTTGAAGTCTGACCACCATGTGTGCATGGAAGTGACAGGCCACTTTTAGGAGCTCATCACTGAATATGGCTTAATTCCAATTAGAGATAGAGATGATTGTCTGAAAGAGCTGGAAGTTGAAAATTTTCTAGTGGAAACCCATTGAATAGAATCGGGGACCCTTTAATGTGTGCAGCATTTTGTGGATATGATGCTTGTATGGAGAATGAGTAAATCTACCAACATTTCTTAGTTGCTGAGCTATGTTTTGCCGGGATTGTCAAATTCCAAGTTAGGAGAATAGCATGTTCCCTCATTATATTGCCACCAGAATCAGCTTTAATGAGCATTTCTAATATCTTGATTTATTCTTATTTCTTCCTATATGTAATAAGAAGATACTTACCAAAATTTGGCGTAGAGGATATAGATTTATTTTTGAAGAAGGTATCTAGATATTTTAACTAAAGAAAATAAATGTATTATTAGTGTTTTATTCCATGCAAGTCAGGACTAAAGTCCACATAAATCAGGATCAATTTATATTTATAGTCTTATCACTCACTGAGCTTATTTCAATATAAGTTGTTAAACTTATCCTTTTCTAATATGCTTTTACTTGCAAATGGGTTGTAATACCAGAACTACTTCTTAATTTTAGAGTTTATCTCCCATTGACTCCCTCCCGCCTCTCCCCCTCTACCCCCTGCCCTTGCCCCAGGCCTTCAGCACCCTATTGTATGTGTTCATGGGTTATGCATATATGCATATAAAGTCATTGGTTGACTACCTCCCCCCTCACCTTTCCCCCCACCTTCCCTCGGAGATTCTACACTGTTCCATGCTTCCAGTGTTTATTGCTTTTAGAGAGAGAGGAAGGGAGAGAGGGGGAGAGATAGAGATAGAGATAGAGATAGAGATAGAGATAGAGATAGAGATAGAGATAGAGGACACTGATGTGAAAGAAACATTTATTGGTTGCCACCATATGCACCTGACCGGGTGTAGAAACTGCAAACTAGGTATGTGCCCTGACTGGAAATGGAACCTGCAACCTTTTGGTGTATGGGATGATGCTCCAACAACTGAGCCTGGCCAGGGCACTACATACTTTAGAAAAAGGTTTTCAGAGATGTTGGATTCCTTATGTGACACAGAGCTTATATATTTGGATCTTCCAATGCTTGACACATAGCTAGAACTCCATACACAGTCAATGAAATAAATGTATTGAAAATCTAGTACTTTACTACTTGCAGTAAAAATAACATATGAAACAAGGAAATGCCTTCAAAGATTTCAGGTATATAAATTGCAGTCTGGAAATATCATCATTTACTAATCAAGATTCTCCTCTGAACATGGCATATGAATCTAGTATAATTTGGAGAATTCACTACCCCTAAAATAAGGTTTTCATCTCCCTCCAGATTCCTAAAATGACTTCATCTGGGTAAACATGGCTGGCATTGTTTCAATTTCTTGATTTGCCTGCTATGTGACCTTCGACGAGTCAGTTTCTTCTTTTGTACTGAGGATAATAATAGTTCATCTGCTAGTTTCTAGTGAAATTAAATCAGATAATGTTTATAAAATGCCCAATTTGTAGTTTTCAACAATATGTAATTTTATTAATATAATAATGTGTCCTTCCATTTAGTCTTTGGAAAAACAGTATAAAATGCAAATACCGCTTGTGTCACTTTTTGATATTTCAAGTGTTAAATGACCAAATTGCTTGATTAACCTCTTTTCACCTCATTTCAGAAAAATGGAAAAAGAATCTGTCAGCATTTAAACTTTGAAACAGACTAAGAAGCCCAGCTATTAGCAGGCTCAGAGGTTGAGCGTTGACCCAGGAACCAAGAGGTCACAGGTTCAATTCCCTGTCAGGGCACATGCCCACATTGCGGGCTTGATCCCCATAGGGGATGTGCAGGAAGCAGCTATCAGTGATGTTTCTCTCTCGTGGATGTTTCTATCTCTCTATCCCTCCCCCTTCCTCTCTCTCTAAAAATCAATAAAAACACATTTAAATTTTTTTGAAATAGATTAAGAAAATCTATACCCTGAGAACAAGGAAGACAATATTAAAGTTTACTAACCTTCAAATAGTTGGAGTCCTCTTTCCCCCCACTCCCCCCAAAAAAACAGGGTTTTAACCAAAAGAATAGGTACTAACAGAAATGTTTCTGCTGAATGATAGAATATTTTATTCAAATTGACTTTTATTTTAAAGATCTTGGTTCTCAAGGGACCCAATAGTTTAGACACCTGCACATTTTACAGTAAATGACAAAGAATGGCATAAAAACTCATAATGCTTATAGTTGTTAAGTACATGAACAATTTCTGCAGTGGGCTTAATTACAGTTGTAAAAAGAAACAATTTTGGGTCTAGACTTAAAGTCTCAAAGCTTTTTGGGTCCAACTACCTATTTTACGGTAAAACTCAGTGTCCATTATTTTGCCACAGCACAATGGCCTTTGGACTCTGAGAACCTTCTTCTCGTCACGCTGCTGTCGTCCTGCTGGCTTATTGGAAATTTTCACTTCATTTCTGAATAAAAGAAACATTTCTATATTGTTAAAGAGTTTGTTTTAATATGTCTTTTTTTTTCTTTAGTGTCTAAAGATGGATTTTAAAATTGAACACACTTGGGATGGTTCTCCAGTGACGCATGAACCAGTGTTTGTCAGGCTGAACCCAGGTGATGGAGGAGTGATGTTGAAAGTCAGTGCTCCATTTTTCAATGATCCTCCAGCCCCGCTTGGAGAACCAGGAAAGCCTTTCAAGGGACTGTGGGATTATGAAGGTAAGTGGAAGTACAGTGTTTTATTGCAGACATAAATCTTTTTATAATAACCTCTCACAGAGCTATTATTTTATCTTGCTGTAAGGAAGTGAGTGCTTCTGAGCAACTGACATATGCAGTGTGTGATATTTCCTACCAATCTCTCATTCTGACTTTTTCACCATTACCTATGCGACTTTAACTCTATAACTAGAACAGTGAAAAATGGCAATTACAAATCCAGACTTCCAAATTGCTGCCATATGTCCTTCCTTTACTTCTGTTACCTAGTCTGAGAAGAGTTCAGCATTCTTGTTTTGTCTTCAGATTGCCACTTTAACCTTATAAACCTTCTTTATGGAAGTTTTAGGGTGTTTTACTTGTTATAGAAACACTATCAACCTCAATATGAAATGTAGTTTTTATTTTATATGTACTGACAAGTAATCTCACATATCAAACTAAGGTTAAAAGAAACCATAAAATTACACTTTCAGGTTTGCTATATGATCCCTGTCTAATGTCTCCTAATTAAGCTACCAAACTTATCTTTGTAAAAAGACTCTTTATGATGCCATTCCCCAGATCACAAACCATTACTATTCCGGAGATAAAGTTCAAATCCTTCCTTTAAACTTTCTGGGGACTCATGAATGGGGCTATCATATTCAACCAAAACCTCTTGATTTCTAAAAGGCTACTATCCATGCACATTCTCACCCATGTACCTTTTCTCATTCTGTTCCTCCTGCGTCTAATGCACATAGTTCAATGTCTAAATCAAGTTCCATTTATTCAAAGAAACCTTTCTTTTTAAATTGATTTTAGAGAGGGTTGGGGTAAGAGAGAAAGAGAAACAGCCATGTGAGAGAGACACAGTGTTCAGTTGCCTCTCGAATGCGCCCTGACCGGGAATTGAACCCACAACCTAGGTATGTGCCCTGACTGGAAACTGAACCCGTGACCAGGTATGTGCCCTTACCTGGAATTGAACCCATGTCCTTCCAGTGCACAGGACAGCACTCCAACCAACTTAGCCATATCGTCCAGGGCCAAAGAAACCTTGGATGATTCTTCTAGTCCCTACTAACATCTACTTTATACCATCTGTATGGCATGCATTTTGTCAAGATTAATTTATAAAATGTTAAACACATGTTGTCTATTACTGATACAGAGCTTGTATATATCAGCTTCCCATTGGTGTACACACCAGTGGGACTTATCAACTCAACAAGTACCAAACTCAACTTACCCACTTTTCTCATAAACCTGCTCTTTCCCTAATTGCCCAGTCTCAATCAATGGTAGTTAAATACATCAAATCACTGAATATAGAAATGTGAATTTTTTCCAAGGTATTTTCTCTCACTCTCTATGTTTGGATTTATCTATGAAGTCCTACCAATTTCCCCTCCTAAATATTTCTCTATTTCAGTACCCCTTCTTCATTCCCATCATCTCTTCATCATCTTTTACCTCAAATAGGACAGAGACTTCTAAATAGTCTTTTTGCCCTTAACTTTATCCTTCTCTCTTGAAAGGTTGAGTGATCTATCAACAGGGGAACAAAGGGGACATCTGTAATACTTTCAACAATAAAGATACATTTAAAAAGAAAAAAAGAAAAATTTAAAGTCATTATTCAGCTACTTAAAAACCTTCTCAGGCTTCTGCTCCTCCCCAGATAAGTTCTTCTTAATATGATTTCTATATAAGATTTTTCATGACTTGGCCCCTTATTCTCTTTGTAGCATCATTTATTAATACATTGAAAGGTTTACTTGTTTGCTGATTTGGTTATTGCTCTGTAGACTACTTGTCAAATATCATGGGTATCTTTTCATATAAAAAAATATTTAACTGTCTTTGATTTTAATCGTTACATACATAGAATACATAAATTTCATAATTTATATGGTAGCTTTTCTACATAATAGAAGATTTATTTATATAATAGGCAATGATCCTATATAATAGGAGATAACCATTTAGGTAATATCTAATTTTTGAGCAATACTTTGATGATTAGCATTATATTTACTTATTTTTCTAGTTGTCTGATTATTTCCTTAAGATAGATTCCCAGAAAAAGATAATTGGCCTAAAGTCTATATGATAATGTTGATTTCTTTACAACCTCACCAGCACTAGGCTTTACTCATCTTTTTAATTGATGGCAATCTGATATGGAAAAATTTGATGGTGATTTATTTCTAAGCAATGTCTATTTATTTTATTTGTCCCTTTTTCTACTGAGGATACAGCTATAATTAAAAATAATGAGTTAATTTATTTTATACTCTAAAGGAATAAATAATTTTTGTTGAAGCATAATTAAATTCTCAATATTTTATATCTCTGTTTTCAAAAGTTGTAGAAGCATTTTTCTTGAATGACATAACTGAACAGTACTTAGAAGTTGAACTTTGCCCGTAAGTATAAATTTTTTTTTAACTCATTACTATATTACTTGAACACATTGTTTTCTAGGTATAAATCATGTGGTCATAGTAAAAATTTACTAATTTCAACAAACTAGGGCAAATGCCAATCTGAACTATATATAATTTCTTATTTTCAAATAACTGTATAATTTAAAATATATGTTTAAAACAGGTTTGGCAAAAGTAGGTTTAAAGTTGTGAGTATGCAAAACAGAGTTTATTCTTATATTATTATTTATTAACTATTGTATTATTTCCCATACAAACAATTGTAAGCCTACTTTTGTCACACTCTGTATATATTACAGATATTTGAAAATAGTACGTTGATGTTATTTTCATTTTACTATGTAGTTGGTCTTTTTAATAAATTTGAAAATAATTTCTTTTTGCAAATGAAATATTATAATAAAACAGAAACTCATTATTTATTCTATAAATTGGCATTATGTCCTAGCTACTCAGAAATAGAGACGTATAGATATAATAAATTAAACTAATGTATGAAAATGTTTCTTTTAAGAAATTTTAAAAATAACTACATTACACTTTCATTTTATGTATTTGTTAATGTATTCACGTGTTTCTTCATTTAGTCCTCCATTTTTAAAATTTAAATTCTTTATTGTTTAAAGTATTAAATGAGTCTCCTTTTCCCCCCATTGACCTCTCCCCGGCCACCCCCATCCCTCAGCACAAGCCCTCATACCCCTATTGTCTGTGTCCATTGGTTATGCTCATGTGCATGTGTACAAGTCCTTTGGTTGATTTCTTACCCCCTCACCCCCCGCCTTCCCTCATAGGCTGTACAGTAGTCTCCATTTATTTATTGAGTGTGTACTATGTCACTTTGTGTTCACTGCCAGGGATAAATCACACATCGTTTTTTCTAGACTCATTTAAAGTGTTAACCTTGCAATCTCTTTGTTCAAATTTAACCATTCCTTTGGGAACCTTCTTTACCTAGTTGACAATATTTTTCCTGTAGATATGAAAAAATGAATTTATGCCCACCTCTCATCCATATTATAACAAATTTTAAGTTAGTAAAATATTGAGTAATGAATATTTTTTTTGTATTGTGATTATCATTTTAAATGGCATTTAAATGTCTTTCAGTATCTAGTATCCATTAGCCTTTGTAGGCTGGGCAGAAAGTTCCAAACAATCAATTTAAACAAGATTTTAGATACCATTTTCTTTTCCCTTAATTTGATTTTTTGCTAACTCTAATGTGGAAAATGTAGCTGTTTCCAATTATATTTTTCAGAGGAATAACCTAGTATCTTTGTATGTTACCTTTCAACTAACATGCCAAAATATTTTATTGAAAAATATGATTGTCATAAACTGTCACATGAGGAAAAAAAATATTCACCCATTGTGTGATTATTTTCACTATACAGGTGAGAATAAGGCAGAAAGATTTATAACTTGTCTACAAGACAGTAAAGAACTTGGATCTACTAGAATTCTAAAGTTTCATCCTTGGTTTTACTTTTATTAGATAAAAATACCAGTTTATTTTCATAAAGAGATTACTTAGCACTGGATGAATAGGATAATTAGATTCTCTTTTGTTAAGATATTACATAATAACTATTATGTACAAAATTAATGTTCTAAAAATTAAAAAAATCCTTAAAGTAGTTTGGTTTCATATATATCGGTACAGTCAATAATCAAGAATCAAGGTTTTGCTTCAGGCAATCAATTCCTGTAACAGTTAGTCTCTAGGAAAACAATGTGAAGAATATTGTTGTTTTCATTTATAAGAACTTTTACTTCTCCTAGGATATTATTAAGCTTGCATCATAACAATAAAAATAAGCAGAGGAAAGAATACTTGTCATGTGTTAGAATAGTTTTCAGAAGGAAATCCTCCCTGAAAAGCTCACAATAGACTATCTGTATAGAAGTGTTTAGATATAGTCTTTTCCAGAGACAATAAATTTCTTTCATGTAACTATGCGAAAATCTTTGATTCTTATTGACCCGGCTAGTCCCAATTATGCTCTTTTATTAGACTTTCCTTTTGAGGATATGTTGTTTCTCTTTGAAAATGTGACATTGGTGTCTGAACTAATGGTAGAAAGCAGGAAAACACAAGAGGCAGACAGATACAGTTTTAGACAACCTATATTTTATATTTTCTTTATTCCTCATGAGCTTGAAGACAGTTTTCTTATAGACATAACCTTTAGTAAAGTTGTTGGATTCACCTGGAAATTGGTGCCAGCTTCTCTTAGGGTACTTTTGTTTTTGAAACTAGTTTTATTATAAACTAGAGGCCTGTTGCACGAAAAGATTCGTGCAATAGGCCTTCCCTTCCCCTGGCTGCCGGCACCGGTTTTCCTCCGGCACCCGGGACCCAGGCCTTCGCTCCGGCCGGAGCTGCCTTCAGTCTTCACTGCTCCGGCCTGAGCCGCCTTCAAGCCTTCACTGCCCTGGCCGGAGCCGCCTTCAGTCTTTGCTCCGCTGCTTCGTGCCTACTATGCAAAGTAACCGCCATCTTTGTTGGCGGTTAATTTGCATATCTCACTGATTAGCCAATGGGGGCGTAGTGAAGGTACGGTCAATTACCATGATTGTCTATTATTAGATAGGACTAGAGGTCGGCCCAATGCATGAAACTCATGCAAGAGTAGGCCTTTCTTCCCCAAGCTACCAGCACCGGCTTCCCTCAAAGCCCTAGCTTCCTCTGGAAGGACTCCAGTCTAATTAGCATATTACACTTTTATTATCATAGATGCCAAATACTATAATATCCCCCACCCCTTTGCTGAGTTTTCATCTTTTGACTGAAATCTTTTATATAGTTTTATATTTAAATAATATAAAAAGCAATCTGAACATGTGTAGCTTTTTTTTTTTAAAATATATTTTATTGATTTTCTACAGAGAGGAAGGGAGAGGAATAGAGAGTTAGAAACATCAATGATGATAGAGAGTCATTGATTAGCTGCCTCCTGCACATCCCCTACTTGGGGCCACGCTCACAACCTGAGCATGCGCCCTTGACAGGAATTGAACCTGGGACCTTTCAGTACACAGGCCGACACTGTATCCACTGAGCCAAACTGGCTAGGGCCATCTTTTGATTATTTGGAAATTTAGTTACATCCATTGCAGATATAAAGAAGAGTGAAGAAAATAATGTTTGTTTCTTTCATACACTCATGAGGAATTTTAATTTCCACAGCCATGGACACCATTTGGTGCTTTTATTATCTGGAAGAAGAAATGTGTGGAAAGTAAGTAAATAAAAATATGAGACAAAGTTCTTAAGTGTATAAGATCTATGTATACATTATAATATTTAATATATATGTTTAACTTATAAATCTGAATTTAACTTTTATATTTCACATATCATTTCTGTAGCAAGAACTTGCTCTATCATTCGAAGTGTCCAGAGGAGAGACAAAATGGGAAGGCAGAGCTTATCTTCCTTGGAGTTATTTTCCACCAAATGTGACAAAATTCAATTCATTTGCAATTCATGGATCTAAAGATAAAAGAATCTATGCAGCTCTTTACCCTGTACCTCAGCATGAACTGCAACCAGGACAAAAACCTGATTTGTAAGTAGAAAATGAATGAAGATATGTTCCAACTGTGAGGGTTTTTTGGAAATTAATTTTTGGTAGAGCAGTGATAACATTTTTCAGTCAAAGGAGACATGTGTACAAGCACCTAGTGGGGTACTGTGTTCCCTGATGGTTCTTAGTAAATACTTGACAGACTGTGGACCCGCTTAGTCTCTCTCACTGCTATAAGTACAGCACTTATGTTTCCATGGCAATATGAGAAAAATCTTGCTTAGTGAATATTGGAACAGCTGCTATAGAAGTATTGTTACAAATTCATTTATCATCCCTTTCAGAGCTGACTGGCCAGAGACATTCAGATTCTTGGTGAACAAAGGGTTAATAAATTCTTTCCCTTGCTGCTTGAGAATATGACCTGTGGACTTATTACAAGAGATATTGGCCCCTGTGGGCACCAGGCATGTAAACCCAGGTATCTCCTACACTTGCCCAATTTGAGTCGTATCTCATTGAAGCTGTCACTTAAGGAGAATATAGCTCCTGTCCAGCCATATGAATGCCTCATGGATTGCAGCAAGCTTTACTCCCTTGGGAAAGCCAGATTCTGTCCTAGGGCAAGCTGGGGTTCCTGCTCTCCAGCTCTCTGAGTGTACTCAGTGTGGCCAAGACAGCCTGGCGAGTATGTGTGTTCAGAAGAGCTAACAGAGACATCCTAGTGTTGCCAATGGAATTGGGGTCCTTTCACAGAGTGATAGGAAAGCATTCTGGAGACCCGTGTATGGGAGGATGAGAAGCAGTGGTAAGATTTATTGTAGAAGCAAAATCAAAGGACTGCCCTGGATTCAGCTCTGTCTCGCTGTGAAAGAAGTCCAGCCTTGTCTTCATCAAGTCAAGAGCAAAGGCCAGTGCCCATGAATTCTGTGCCATTGGTTCAGTCAAGTTCAGTCCCTGTCCTCATTGACTCGCTTAGTCTGTGTTCACAGCTGTGCTCTGGCTGGTGCTGTGCCATGGTCACCATCTTGGCCCCTATTGGGCAAGCGCTTAACTCCCCCAGCACCGTCTTGGCTTCTACTGGGCATGTGTCCAGCAGAGGAATTTCTCCAGCAGTTTTTCTTCTTCCCCTGGTAATGACCAATAATGGACCTTCCTGTCTTCTTCAGGGATTAGGCCCCGATACAGCAGGCCCCTGGGCAGCCTGTGAATGCTCAACCTCCTACTGAAGCAGGCTTAGTGTCCGACTCAGCTTCCTAGTTTATTATACTTAATGATGTCTGATTCCTTTGCTCCCTTCCTTTAGTAATATCTAGCTGTCTTTGCTAACACTCGTGGACTTTGCACCATGGTGGACTGACTCTCCTGTCATTTTACCCCTGAAAATGCTGTCCTTCCTTTCCCCGTTTGCCTTCTCCTTCCTGCCATACTCTTTATTCACTCACTTTGCCTTCATCTCTTCTAGCCTATTCCTTTTTTTCTGCCTGACACACTTTGCTCTCTTTCCTCTGCTTTTCTCCCCAGTCTTGACACTTCCTACCTAGCCTCCCTTGTTTTCTCTTAACCTTCACTGTTGGTTCCTGAACCTCTTCATCTGGAATTGACACTTGAGACTCAAACTGGTTCAGTCTGGCCAGGTAAGCAGAATGGGCCCAGGATCTAGATGCAAGTGACTCAGGGCCCTTATATCAAGATGGCTTGTTTCTCTGGCTCTTTACCAGCTAATATCTTCTTATATTTTAGCTCCTTAGTGCTATAATATGTTCGACTCCTCAATGTATTTGTTATTGGAGGCTTACCCTAGGTAAAAGCGTGACTATGCTGTTGGCCAGGGCCCAGCCAAGGCAGAGTGATCTGCTGCAGAGCTAAGTTCCACTGCAGCATGTTAGCTAAACCTTTCTCTCTCAATTAAACCACAATATAAATCTCCATAATATTTAATGGATGTTCCCAGGAAGAAAAGAGCTAGGATTAACACTCTTTAAACCTCCTTTGCTTGGGCAAAGGAGTCTATCCTCTTATCTATGGAGCTGAAACTTCTAAAATAGTAGTTCATATGACTGATATAAAGTATGTCAAAGTTTAAATGTAAAAACATCTGTAAAAATATAATATGATTTGTTTAAGGCTAAATGGAATGAGTCAGGTTTTGAGGGTAGATTTTAAGTGCTTTGGGATGTGGGTGAATGTTTTCAGAGCTTAATGTTTGAGAGCTAGAGTGAGAAAATTATACATACAGAATATATCTTACCTTTGGTGTTCTTAAAATAGAATGTTGTCCTATCACAGATGTGACAGAGTGAATAGCCTTTCAGGTCACCTATTTTTCAAATGCATGATTCATTTCAATTCCCACCTTCTTTTTCTTTGCATTTAGCCACCGTCTGGAATACTTCAAGCCTTTCAGTTTTAACACACTGCTTGGAGAAGAATGGAAACAACCAGAATCTGACCTGTGGCTAACAGAGAAACCTGATGTATAAGAGTATAGTAGATGACCAAATCAATCATTTCTTCTCTATACATTTTAAGGTAAATCATCCTATATAATAAAAGCGTAGTATGCAAATTGTCCCCTCGACAGGGAGTTGTCTGGGAGTTCGACCAGGGGGTGGGGCCAGCCAGCGGAAGGGAGGGAGGCCTTGGCTGGCAGCCAGCAGCCGCTAGGGACCCTACCAGTGCATAAATTTCGTGCACTGGGCCTCTAGTAATAAATATAATCTCTTTCAAGTATAATGTGCAAACATTTCAACAATAAGTATTTTCATAAAAGTCAATGAAAATATAGTATTTCTCTGAAAAATTTTGTATAAATTAACAAGAAAATGGAAAGTTTGTAGATTATTATATCTATAAAGTTAAAATTTTTCTTACAGTCATTTAGTCCAGGAGCCACAGTGTCAGTAAATTCTGTCATCTGCTTCACATCATCCTTACACTAAATATCCCTGACTCAGTCAATCAAATCATTATTTCTCTTCTCACTTCCCTAAGTCTTAGCTAGCCTGAGATAGGAAAATCTTATTTTCACATTTTTGAACTCCACGTACATTAATTCTTTACTCAGAATCTTTTGTTCATTCTTGAACTGGGTAGAAAACAAGGATATATTTCAGTCGAACAGGAAACCCACATCTGTTAAGGCATCATTAAGATATATGTGGTATTTAAATTAGCTATTTTTCCTGTCTTATGACTATTTTTACTTTGTAGAAGAAATGGAATTCAGATAACAGCTTCTGCTTTTATTTATAAAGAAATGCCATTTTCTGAATGCTAGTAAACAATGTGTTGAATGTACTCATTTTGTAAACATCAAAACATCATGGTCTACAATTTTTAAAATTTCTGTTATAACATATTTCAGAGCGATAAGCAATCTAGTAAATCATTTATGAACTTCTCTACCTGTTCCTTCTCCAGCATTCTAAACTTAAATAATTAGCAGTTTTGCAGAAGAAACTTTAAAAAGAGAAATCTTTATTGTTGAAAGTATTACATATATCCCCTTCTTCCCCCCATTGACCCCTTCTAATCCAACCCTGCTCCCCACCCCAGGCCTTCACTACACTATTGTCAGTGTCTGTGGGTTATGAATATATGCATACAAGTTCTTTGGTTGATCTCTAGAAACTATTACTTATGCAGGTACCTAGTTCCTACCCACTACATACGTTCTCCTGTTCTTTACTGACAGAACATTAATTTTTAGGGGCTCTACTCAAAAACTACATTTTCCCAGATGCCTTTGCAGATATAAATGACTCTATAAAACAGTTCACATCAATGAGATATGAGTATATAGTATCTGGTGGGGCTTAAAGAAAAGATGCTTTAAAGATGAAAGACTCAGCTGCCATACACATTTTGTCCTTCGCCCTCCCCTTCCTTTTTCTTGAGTTGCAGAATGAATCCCTGAGGTAACACACTAGCTTCATTGTGTCAGCAAGGAGCCAACCCAGGGATAGGTAGTTGAGTAGAAAGACAAAGGAGCCTGGTTTCTGAACTATGCAGTAGAGTAATCTATCTGGACTGTCCAGCTATATAGGAGAGAATAAATGTTTAATTTGTTTTCCCCAAAGTGATTTATTGATTCAATGCAATCCAAGTTTAAAATCCTAGGAGGCTTTTTGGGGCTAGAAATTGACAAGATGATTCAAATTTTGTGTGGAAATGCCAAAACAGTTTTGAAACACAATGAAGTTGGAAGACATATACTAACTGAATCAAGACTTGTTACTAATCTTCAGTAGTGAAGACAGTATGACCTTGGCATAAATTTAGACAAATATCAATGGAACAGAATAGAGAAACCAGGAAGAGAACTATGTAGAGTCAGTTGACTTGTGACAAAGGTGCCAATGCATTTAAGAGGGAAAGGATAGTCTTTTCAGCAAATGGTGTTGGAATAACTGGGAAAAATATGAAAAAAAAAATGAACCTTGACCTCTAACATACTCCAAAAGAAAAAAAAAAATGAACCTAAATGTAACTGGTAAAAAAAAAATTCTGGGAGAAAATCTTCACAATCTGCAGGAAACAAATTTCAAATAGGACATAAAAAGCATTCACTAAAATAAAAAACACACAAATAAATTGGACTTTATCAAAATTAAACGCTTCTCATCAAAAGCCTTGAGTGAGAATGTGAAAAAGCAAGCCAAAATTGGGATAAAATATTCAAAACACGCATATCTGCCAGAGGACTCTTACCTAGAATATGTAAAGAACAGTATCAGTAATAAAAAGACAAGCCAGTTAAGGAGCAAAAGAGTTGAACAGACACTTCCCAGAGGAAAGCATACAAAAGGCCAATCAGTATATAGAAAGGCTCTCAACCTCACTTATCAAAGAAATGTGAATTAAAACCACAGGAAGATGCTACTGAATGACTAAAATGACAAAATACGCAATGGCTAATTGGCTAAAAAAAACACACAAAAAAAACAAAACAGCAGAAAACAAAACAACAACCCTGAAAATGAGAACATGGAGTAACTGGAATCTTTCAACATTGTGGGTAGGAATGTAAATGGTACAACCACTTGGGAACTATTTGGCAATTTCTAGTATAGTTAAATACATTCCTACCCTATGATTGAGCAGTTTCATTCTTAGATATATACTCAAGGAAAATGAATGTTCTTAGCAGCTTTATTCATAACAGCGCCAAACTGTAGACAATCTCAAATTTCTATCCCCAGGAGAATGGATAATCTGATAGAGTCAGACAATGGAATACTACTGGTAAAAAAGAATGGCCTGTTGATGCATGCAAAAACCTAGATGAATCTGAAAAGCATTATGCTGAGAAAAATAAATCAGAGAGAATATACTGTATAATTATTTTTATGTGAAGGCCAATTATACACAAAACTAGGCTATCCTGAATCAGAACCACAGCTGTTCTGCATAAGGGCAAGGGATTCAAATGACCTGGAAAAGGGGCATGAGGGAATTTTCTGGGTTGAAATGTTTTGTGTTTTGATCTGGATGATGGTATATACCTGCATACATTTGTCAACATTCCTCAAGCTGTATATATTTTAAGATTTGTGGTTTTACTATATGTAAATTATTCCTTAATAAAATGCTGTTATAAAATAATCTGTAAATGGTGTTCACTTCAAGTTTATGCTGTTCCATTAAATAATCATTAGTGCTGGTTAAATGTGACTTATCAGCTGACTTTTTTTTCTTTCAGTTATTAAATATCTTCTCTATATGAAAAGAGCTGGTGTAAAATAAATGCTGACTTTTACAAGAAGCACTATAACTACATATCATGGTGACAGTGTTAGGCGTCTTTGATTAAATACAGAAGTTATATTAGCAACTAACTAATTTGATACGGTAACAGTCTGCCAGTTTTGGATAGGAAAGGCATATTTTAAATAATCTAGGGTGATTTATTTATGTTACCTGAAATAATTTTATAAATGCATATAAAATCTTAGGACAGGGGTAGGCAACCTTTTTGTGAGTGCATGCCAAAACCAGCAAAATCTCTGACTCAAAATTCTTCTGCGTGCCAACCCTAATTTTTTGAGAACATGTTACGCCTACTTAATATCTCTTAAGGTGTACGTATATAAAGAACCTTGAAGAAATAATAAAATTCATTCGAGCGACAAAAACACAGTATATGATGATGAAAAATATATTTATTTTTAATGTATACATGTACACTGATAGTCTGACAGGAAACTTTATGACTCCATTTGATATTATCAGTGGGACTTTCGCTGCTGCATCACTGATGACAGAGATTTTACATCAGGTTTATATTTTGTGACCTTCAGAGGTATGCACGAGCTACTACTTTCATCCATCAGGCTACTCCTATTACGAGACTTAACAAAATTCATCACTGAGAACAAAGATTCACAAGCGTATGTGGATGAAAACATGGAGAGTAATGCTGTTGCAAAGTTTTTTAAACAGAAAAAATTTTCTGGGATGGCATTCCAAGTCCTCAATAGTTCGTTTTCGACACTTCTCTCTGGTACTCCTGTCTCTAGTCACTTTTTTTCAATGTTTTCCAAGTCAACTCTAAGGTCAATAAATTTCTGCTTCCCAATTGAGCTACTCTGAAATTCAATCAACTGCATTTCCAAGTCAGCCATGTCTATGGTCTTTAAGATAACTTGTTATGTAAAATTATTTAAGATGCACCTACACTGAATTTATCTTAAAAATAAAAATGTTGATATTAAGAAAAAAATTGTAAATGGAAGATTATAAGAGAGGGTTTTGCGTGCCAGCAAAAGTTACTGGTGTGCCATATTTGGCACGTGTGCCAGGGGTTGCCCACCCCTGTCTTAGGACAAAAGATAAGGTAATTTTAGAGTATCTCAATTTTAGAAATGAATCAATCACTGTGAATTATAGGTTCAGATATAAGACATATATATATATATATATATATATATATATATATATATATACACACATATATATGTATATATATACATATATATATATAAAACCCTAATATGCAAGTAGACTGAACGGCCAAACAACCGGTCGCTGTGACGTGCGCTGACTACTGGGGGCGCGCATGGTACATGGCGGGCGTTGGCAGCAGGCGGCAGAGCGTGCAATATGGTGGCCATCTGCTGCGGCAGGATGGTGGAGCAAGTGAGTGGGTGCGCCAGACCAAGGCAGGGTGCCGGTTGCTGTCATCAGGGCGATCCTCTGGTGGTTACTGAAAATTCTTTGCTCCTCAGGGGCAATCGGGGCCAGCAGCTTCCTCTTGCACCTGCTTCCAGCGATGGCCCTGCTCACACCCACTGCTGGCACCTGCCCTGATTGCTCTGCGCCATCAGCAGGTGCAAGCAGGGCCTGCACCATCAGCACCTGAGAGCTACAGCAGCGTGAGCGGGGCTGCTGGCAGACACTGGCCAGGTGGGGGCACAGAGGATGGGCTGAGACCCGCTCCTGTGCCCACTGCAGCCTTGCAGCCCACAGTTCATTTCAAGGTGCACGAATTCATGCACTGGGCCCCTGGTAACTTTATAATATGGAGAAAAAGTAAAGCCCAAATATTCTAGATCACAATCACAGCCATATAAAATATTGACTTTGATGTTGTGGTTTGTGGCTTTCTAAAACCTATTATGTATTTTTAAAATCTGTTTAGATGTGTTTTTTTAAAACACCTCTTTCATCTAGATAATATGTTCCTCTTTCAATATCAAGCAAGCAAAAACACTTTATGAACATTTTCTTTTGAAAAGAACATGCAATTTAACCACATAATTTTTGAAAAGTCCATTAATAAGATACAAACAATGCACCCTATAGAAACTCAATATTTGAGAGTTGGTATTTATGATAACTGTTTCAAATTTGTTTTTCAACTTGAGGATCACAAAAAAGTAATATTTCCTTCGCTGAACAGTATGCGTGAATGCATTTCCTCCCTGTGCTTTGAATTGTTCACCACAGTGTTATGCAGATTCTCTCCTCACCACCTAAATAGATTACACAGTGCTTGCATTTATTCAGGTGTTTTTTCATGCCCTCCCTACCCTGTGCCAGTAAAGTATAAGTCACAATCCAAAGAGAAATATTTTCTTTACTTTTAGGTCTAAAATATTTTATTGGACATTTAAAAAAATTACCGTAGAAAAATTTTTTTCTCATCTTTTTTTTTTTTAAGTTCGACTTTTGGGGCGAAGATAATGAATTAATCTGATACTTAAAAAGAAAAAGGATAGTTTGTGTGTGTGTGGGGGGGGAGGTTGGGGGTTAATGGGGGGGATGAGGACACATTTGTAATACCTTAACTAATAATAATAATAATAATAAAAAAGAAAAAGGATAGCAAATGGATGAAACAATTAAATTAAGCCCTCAGCACTTCTACTCATGCCTCAAAACCCCAAAATAATTTCTTTCTTCTCATTTAGTTTTACATGGTATTTTACACATTGCTTTATTAGCACACTTATTCCACAGTGCATTAGCAATCTCTTCTGACTAACCGCCGGTCCTTTCAGTCTTTTTACTCCAGCAACGAATTGCACTCCGTGAACCGACAGCACCTCGCATCAGTTGCGCTGTGTAGCTTGCTTTCTGCCAGGGCTTCGCTGCTGCCTCAGCTGCGTGGACCACCCGCAGGACCCCACTTGGTCATTCTCACACATAAACCACCCTGTGTGAAGAGCTAACACCCCACAGACAGCTCTTGACCAAGGAGAACAGAAGTCAGTGGACCCATACTCCTCTCTTTCATTCCTTGGATTGACAATTCTCAGGTCCCTTCCACATTGCTCCTTGGAGGTTCCCTGAAGGAATCATACCCCAGTGGCCAACTAATAACACTCCTTGTTTTGCTTTTTCCTCGTTTCCTCTTTTGCTCTTCCTAGTTCCTCACTCCTGTTTGGAATGACAGCCAAATTCAACCTACTCCGAGCCCTTGTTCCAGATGGGCTTTATGGATTGTTACCTGACTCTATAAGCACTGGTAAAAATAACGTGGGAGCAAAAGATGTTCAGAAGCCCTTAATGCAGTACATATGCTCTCAGAGAAGATGAATGTTCAAGCTACTCCTTATTAATAAATCACTTACCAAGAGAGACCCATTTTTTCCCAGGACCCTTTTGTGTATTATTTATCGCAGTAATGTCTCTGTCATCGCAGCAGTAGACTTTGGTGGACTAGTGGCTCATCTGATTGCAAATCTCTTAGTATTTACCATGAATAGGGAATGAGTCAGAGTGTAGTAGAATATGGGAGAGGAAGAAAACCCAGGCTGCATCTAAACTAAATCTTTCCTAACTTGCTATTTGTGAAAGTCAAAAGACAAGCTTTCGAAGACATGAAAACTTGGGCAACCAAGCTTCAAACCCTTGAGTAACTTGCAATAACTATAATGGTTTTTTATCTCTATTTATTAGACACTGAAGTAACTTAGCACGAATTTACTCTAAATGATTGTATAACCTCATACAGAAAACCTAAACATTGTGAATGTCTTCCTTCCTGTCCTTAACATTTTAT